GGGGGGGCGTCTCAGATCACTGCAGGGCAGGAATGTCTGCTGCCCACTGCACAAATAAACAGCAAAAAGTATGTGGTGCATACAGTAACATACACCTGCTAAAACAGTACACTGATCTGCACAGGGCAACACATGGAGGGGGGGGGGGACACGCGACACTTAAATGTAGAGAAAGGCAGACAGTGACACGAGGCGGAAGACGACGGTAAACAGAAAAACACAAAGAAAAAAGAAAAGAAAAAAAGAAGATAAATTCAAACATGAAAGAAAAAAAGAAAAAAAAAACAGAATGGCACCCAGAGAAAATCAAATCAAGTAAAATCTGTCATAATTCAAAATCAATCATTTTTTACTAAGTAACTAAACACCATAAAATTGATCTTGTAAAGTAGAGGTTCCCAAAAGGAGGTGCAGGGCCCACTTGGGGGCCGCAGAGTAACTGATCTTCAAATTCAATATTTTCCTGCCAAAGGTGTAAAACTGCACTGATTGTAGTTTTACAGCAGCATTTTAGAGATTCAAACATCGAAAATTGTCCTAGTGGCCAAAGGGGTGCACTGCAGTTAAAATCTGGGAACCACTGTAGTGAAGAATGTGTTACAGTATCTTTGACAAATAAAAAAGGCCACACAGACAAACATGTTCCTAAGACTGTACTCTGCATTAGTGTTTACTGATATGTATTGCATTTGTTTATTATTTTTTAATAAAAAAAATAAAATGCCATAATGAGATACGACGGATGTGTGATCCATATACATCATTAAAACACAGCTGTACATGACGATAGGTTCAGCACCAGGTCCCTTATCTCCATGAATGTACAACAGAACTGCTAACACAGTGATTCTCAACCCCTGTGCCGTGGCACACTAGTGGTACGGTGGAAAAACTTATTCAATTTCACTTAATTGAAAACTATATTTATTGCATATATTTTTTCTTTACTCATCAAAGCAGCTAAGGCAGAACAATTTAATACTCTTCTGCTAGGTGGCAGCAGATGGCTATAAAAAAGGATAATCAGAGCTGTTGAAGAAGATCTTTGTGAGTGTCTTTCTTCAATTCCTGCCAGTATATCAGCGTTGTCTTCAACTAAACAGATGGAGATTTTTTGAAGAATGATGAGGTCGTTTAAACTAGAAGATTATTATTTTTTCTCAGATTTCTGTTTGTTGGTGGGGTTTTTCCTGATGATCTAAATTTGCTGTGGCTCAAAAAAGGTTGGGAAACACTGTGCTAACAGGTACAACATCAAAAAAAGAAAAAAGAAAACACATTCCTTCAAATGTCGTACAGCATACGGTACTGACACAACAAAAAAAAACAAAACAAGAAAAACCAAGCCAGGGTTTTCCAGGACAAAGAGCAGCTACGATCCAGTAACAGTTAACCAGCGTCACTGGTTCATTGACGTTCTTCAAATCACTGACCTTATCCTGTATATAATCTAATCTGACTGACCGAGCGACCGAGCCCGGCCACAGCAGCAGAACCCGTGCCATGATCGTCCTCGTTAACAGGAACTCTCCAACCAGCAGGGAGTCAAACCAACAACAGCTAAGGCACTGTGGTTGTCGTCGTTGTGCGTAATTGTGAGCAATTAAAATCGTGTCCTGCAATCATCGAGATACGTCAAGTACACGGAGTGCTACACACTCGGGCGTACACGGGTCACAAGTTCTCCAACTGGTCCACCGGCTCACGCTACCGTACTGCACACCTGAACCTTGTGTAGCGCCCCCTGCATCCTGCTACTCCACCACTGGAAATTACACGACTCAAACAAAAAAAAAGGCTTTGTTACCGAACACAGATAAAATCGCGACCAGATCGGATCTTGCATAATTTAAAGTGCGCAGCCAAAGATGGTAACGGAGCAGCAGAAAGGAAACTAAGAGTACCAACTGGAACTGATGCCGACGGTCGGTCTGAACACGGCCCAGCAGCAGAGGAGAGGGAGGTGCAGCGCCCTCTAGAGTTGGTGGAATGTTTAGACGCCACCGTGAGGATGAACTGGTTCAGCGATGTAGTGACGAGATCAGTAACCTGTTAGCCTGTTATGCTATTTTCAGATAAAAATGTGTGTGCATATATATTTTTATATGTCCTATATATAAATATTTTATAACACATTTTTTTGACAGATGTACGTTTCCCCCAGATTGCAGCGTAGTGTGAGAAATACAGTAATATATTTGTAACAGATGTAGAAAAGCTAGCATTAATGCTAAACTCCTGATAAACTGAGTAACATTTAATGAAGATGTGTGTTCTACGAGAGCGAGTGATTCCCAACCACTGGGCCGCGGAACATTAGTGTGTACAGGTCCACGAAAAAAAACAAAAACGATCCAATTTCACTTTCTTCAATTCCCGGGACTATTCAGCAGTGTGTACAACTAAACAGGCTGAGGTGTCACACTACGAAAATTGTGAGCTAAAAAAAAATTGAATATCAATATATATATTTTCTTTGAAGTTTGTCGGTGCATCATGGGAATTTCCTAATGTGCTGTGGCTCAAAGAATGTTGGGAAACACTGTTGTAGAGAGGACAGAGGAGGAAAACTGTTAACGTCCCTCCGTCCCTCTTCTGTAAACTGGGGACAGTCTCCGTCCTTATATGGATAAAACCATCACCAACAGTCGGTCAGAGCCGACGGAGCTACAGTTGAGACAGGAGACAGCTGTAGAGGCAGTAACTGAATAAAGTGTTCATGTAGTATAAAAAACCAAGAGTCGCCATGACAACTGAGTTGAAAACATTCAAGACAACAAACTTTAAAATCTTAGTGACTAAGAATTAAAAGCATCCCACACCCCCGCACCCCCCCAGGTAAAAACTGCACTGTGTATGTAGTGTTAAAAAAAACCCTATTCTGTATAAAAGAGCAGCATCCGCTCTGATAGGACAGTAACTCTCGTGTGTGTGTGTGTGTGTGTTTTGTACTGCGGCATCATCATCAGTGCTTGTGCGTCTCAACAGACGGCGCCTCCTGCAGAAAGGGAGTGAAGGAGGAGCGGACGGTGCGACGAGGAGCGGACGGTGCGCCCTCTCAGCGGCTGCTGCACGCGGAAGTTGTTGACCATGCTCTTCTGAACTTCCTCCTCCGCAGACGTGAACAGAAGGCTCCGGAAAACTGCCAGCTGAGAAGTGGACAGAGAGGGAGACAGACAGAGGGTACAGTTTAGACCCAAACTACAGCCTGACTCAGATGAACCCCTGACCTCAGGTCAGTTAGGAGTGAAGAACCATTGACCTCAGTGTTTGACTGATTTACTACACAGGATATAACCTGCTGAGGTTAAAAGCTGTTTTGAATAGATCAACTCAAAATGCATCGACTGCATTTGGCCACTTGGGGGCAGCAGAGTAACGTGGTAGGCTGGTCTCACTGTCCCACAAGAAGGAACGTCATTTACCAGAGTTCCTGTCAAACATGTTCTATAACATGTTATCCCTCAGATAATCAGTGTTTACAGTCAACATGGATGAAAATATCACTTTTTACTTCAAAGTTTTTTAAAAGTTAAACGTGAAATATAGATTTTCTTGACTAATTTAATTTTTAAAATAGTGTCTACATTTGATTTGTTCCAGTTTTGTCAGCCTTTGGAGTGTGTTTGAAGGTTTGATATATTTTTTATAATTTTTAAAATAGTGTCTACATTTGAAGGTTTGATATATTTTTTTAAAAATGCAACGTAAATTATTTTAATTACAACAACAGTGTCAGCTGAGCAAACAAATGTACACACACACACCTGATCATGGCTGACTTCGATGGGCTGCTTCATAACGATCCAGTTGACAGACTCGGTGAGAGGGGGCGTGGTCAGAGAGCCCGGGTACGTCCAGTAATCATCGGTGTTGCTGGGTAGCAGACAGGCTGGGTCAAACCTGTTAAACTCCACGCTGCTGCCCTGCAGAGGCCGACGGAGGAAAGGACACGAAAAGTGTCTGCTTCAATATGTTTGACAAAGTGTGACGTGCAGTGCATGTGTCTAACCACTGCACGGCGCCAAAGACAACGTTCCAGTGAAGCTTTGCTTCTAGGCTCTTGTCGCCACTGTGACGTCAAACAGGAGACATTTGCTGTCATCTTTTTTTATTTACAATTTAATTTTTAAACTAATCAACGTTTTAAGGCAGAGCGCCACCTACTGGACCACATTCCACTCCTGTCCCTAGCAGTGGCTGTGAACTCACCTTGTGTCTGATCGCAGGCAGAGCGTCCACCAGTTTCTGGAGCCCCTCGTGTCTCTTACCGACCTACAGGAGGACAAGACGTTGGTTTTAAGTCGTCCAATCACGACGAAGCAGACGCCATATATGGAGTAAAAGTGTACGTATACGTGTGTGTACCTTCAGAAAAACTCCAATCACAGCCAGGCCGTTGTCCTCCATCACTGCCTCCTCGAACAGACTGTACTTCTCAGAGTTCCAGTGGACCAAGTGGAGCTGTCAACACACACACACACACACACACCTATATAAGACCACATGACGTCTGCGTGTTCATTGTATCACTAAATGTTTCCATCAGGGGTTCAACAAAGACCGCGGCCGATGGTTTCTCCTGTTCTCGTCCGTTAACGTTTCCATCTGAAAACCACGATCACGTGACTGTGAACCGGTGTCAGCGGCGCGTTATCGTGTTTCACCGTCAACTCCTAGCGGCCGCAGTGACCTCTCAGGGGTTCATACCCTCTGAAGTTTGAATCATGTCACTGTTCCAGTGACTCAGCAGGTTTACAGGAGGATCGGGTGACACGAGCCGAGTCAACGGCGTCTCTGTTCTTCAGGCTCGTCCCGTGTGTATAACCGTGTACCGTATTTCCCAGACTATAAGTCGCACTTTATTTTTCATCCTTTGGCTGGGATTGTGACTTACACTCAGGTGCAACTTGTTATTAAAATATATAATTTCACATGTTCGTTATTTTTACACTGACAGCCACTAGAGGGCACTCTGGGCTTGTTGTACCAGTATCTGCTCCTCCTCTACCACTGATAACTTATATATGGACAACTGAGACACAGTTCTGAAAGAAAGTGTGTATTGAGTATACGTCGGCAGATGGTTGAAGGTGTGGGGTTATTGAAGGACTGTCCTGGTGGGAGGGGGGGCAGGGGGAGGGGCTGTAAATTATTAACACCTGTGGTTTCTGTAACAAAGAAAAGGAGTAGAAAAATGAGGATGGAATTCAACCTGCCGCTCCTTTAGTAAACCCTGAATCACTAAGTACTTGTAAATACACACATATTGGACACAAAATACGGGCATTAGAAGGAGAGAGATAGATAGAGAGAGTCAGAGAGAGAGAGAGAGAGAGACAGAGACAGAGAGACAGAGAGAGAGAGCTTGTCGACAGAGACTTCATCATTCAAATTTCTCAGTACTTTGCAGTTTAAATATCCTCTAGCTGTTAGACCTTAGTACTACTCGTGGTACACTCGTGGTAGACTACAGGTAGATGAGTACCTCTGAGGGGAACAGCCTCCTGTCCACGGTGTGCTCCGACCCCCAGTCGTTGGTCTCCCCCCAGTGAAAGTGGAACTGACAGAGTCTGTATTGGTCTTTCAGGGGGCCGCCTTTGAGGGCTGCAACGAAAACAGTAGTCACGGCACTGCACTTCAAATTAAAAATAACAATAATTAAGATGAAGTGTCAGTTCTCTGACTGGAGACACCTGCTGGGGAACAGTGGGATTAAACGTACAAACATCCAGGAAACACTGACCAAAAAAAAAAAAAGATGATCTTTCACAAGGTAAAGACTTCCCTTTGTTTTCTTTGTCAGCTTGGCCTAACCTGAAATGTCACCAGTCGGGAAGTAACTTCGTGAACCTATTACAAATATACTGTAGATACAAATGCAAATGACAATTCACATCGGTTGGAACAAAAATGAATCACGCATCAAGGCGTAAGGAGTATTAACTGCGTTATCTCAAAAAGTCACTGGTCATACCATGACACTACACACTCTAGTTCAGTAGGTGGCGCTACGTAGCCATAGTGACATTCAGGTGTCAAAACAGAACAGGGGAAGAACTGGTTCCACAGACACCAACAGACATGAGGTTCACAGACCATTTGACTGGTATCTTGTGGTGAGTTGCGTGTAACGTTCCATCCCTACGACTAACACTCATCATCATCATCATTCCGATGTGTCAATGTTTATGTTTCTAGGAACAGAAACCTGCACCGTGTTTATACATCTGACGTTATAAACCGGTTCTGTTTATAATGTTGTGTTTCCGTCAGACAAGGTTCATAATCTGCAGAACCAGGGCACGAGTCAGAGTTGGATCAGCGTAAGACTTCACTACATTTCTCAGCACGGAATGGGTTTTATGCTACAAGCCCCGTCTGTTTCCACCCCCCGTCCTCTCTCTGCCCTAACATGGGTCTGGCAGAAAACTTTAATATACCCAGGGGGCAATTTAGAGGGTGGCACACTGAGGGAAAACAGAAATAATTATGAGTAAAGAAAAAAAAAAGAAAGAAAAGAAAAAGGCACGAGAGCTAAGAATAAGTTTCATGTTCTTTGCTATTTTCTTACTTTTTTTTCATCTTAAAAAAAAGAAAGAAAAGAAAAAGTGTTCATGTTCTTTGCTATTTTCTTACTGTTTTTTTTTCTTCTCAGGCTAGAAAATGCTATTATATCACAAAAATAATGAAAATATTGGAAATTGAAAAAAATGTCCAGAAAATCCAGAATACAAAAATACATTTAAAATATTAAAAACTTGCGACGCAAGGACGACTGAAGGACAGGGGGAAAATATTTTTTAAAAATATGGCAAGTAATACTGCAGAAATTTGAGATCAGTTGACAAACTTCACTTTGACAGAAGGTTCTAACTGGGGGAGACAGTGGAAATGAAGTCTGGCACTTTAAAACAAAGACTCTAAACAGTTTGTTAAGGTCAGGGGTCGTGAGTGAGTCACATGACAATCATCAGATTCTCAAGTCAGTATTTCTGTTTCTTTTTATAATACCAACAGCTTTACTTTACATTAAATAGTTGATCTTCCTTCAGGCTGAGGGACCTTTAGAGTCAGGTCAGAGGGAGTTATTCCTCCTGTGTAAGATCAAACCAAGACTTCTATCAAACCAAGACTTCACAGAGAGACAGAGACAGACCTCTGACCAGGAAACACTCAAACAGAAACCTCTGGTCTAAAAATCAGGAAGTTGTACTGAACAAACCGTGATCTCATCCAAACTGATTTGAGATGTTTTAAAGAATAAATATAACAAGAGGAAATGGAGGAGAACTCACTGGACTTGTCTGTGGTGTCGTCGTACTCCACGATGAAGGAGTAACCGTTATTCCAAATCTGCTGGCAGGTCTCTGGGTCGTAATCAGTGACCAAAGGCTTGAGCTGCGAGTCAAAGACGCTCTTGCGGGCGACAATGTCGAGGGGGGACTGGCGGTCGCCTCCTGGCACCTCCAGAGGTTCCTGCCACATGGGATGTACTGGAGGTGAGGAGTTCAGTGGAGGACGAGGAAAAGCAAAGCAGAAGAGAAAACGTGTTAAAAACCAGGTCTAAGCCGAGTCACAAGTCACCTCAGCTGCTGTGAGCTACAGACGCTGCTGATACCCACAGTTCATGATCTTCTCTGCTGATTCCTTGGTTCTCAGACAATCCATTTTAAGAGAAATAAGAACTAAAAGTTGCTCCTTGATTAAATAATCCACAACTACACAGTGACAGTACTAGACTCTGACTCTCAGCCTCGTTTCCAGAAGTCAGTAAATACAGAAAAAGAGTGAGTAATCATACTTCCTTCAACTGCTATTGCCTTCTTTTTCCTCAAAGGAAATTACAAAATAAGAGCCAAGTGGGCTGTCCCTGCTGGGAGAGACACGAGGAATGTCCTGGCACACCCCCGCACCGCCCCCCCCCCAGCTCTGCAGGAGAATCAAACCAGGACCTGTGGTCGGTCAGCAGGCCTGTCTGCACTGACGTCCACCAAGGTTGGACCTTCTAATTCCCTTAACCTCACCCTGCCTGCCTCTGGTTGCGCCTCCTTACTTCATGAGCTTAAAAAAAAAGTCCAGGTTACACAGAAGCCATGTTCAGATTAATAAAAAAAAAAAATCTATATGAAACAGCTGGAGTTCACACGTGGACCGGACAGGAAAATGATTTCATGTCTCCTCGCTGCAGGGCACGAACGCGGCTGAGTCTTTTGTTTGTCCTCTCCATTCATTCAGCCTGAAGTTTCCAGTTTACAGTGAGCCACGCTGAACAGGTCTGACCGGGGGATGAACTTCATCATCATCCAGTTTCACAGGCTCCTCCTGGGAGGAGTTGGTCTCTTGGTTCTGCTGTTGCGCAGAAACAGACTGAACGCTGGCAAAGCAACTGCAGCTTTGAAAAAGAAAAAACTGTTTGGTCACATCAGAGCCACGGTGTCAGCGCTGTAACATGTCTTCATGTGTCACTTAAGCTCAGTGTGTGTGTGTGTGTGTGTGTGTGTGTGTGGTAGCAAGAGATGCAGAAGAAAAGTATCAAATGACTTCTGAAACGTCAGCCTGTCCCTGCAGCAGCATCATCATCAATAAATGAGGTGAAATATAATGTTAACGTTGAGTCGGCATCTAAAGCACATTGACAGTGTATCCTATTCTGCAGTAATCAGTCGACCAATCAGTGATGACTCTTTAGGGGCAGTGGTGACTTAGTGGTGAAGGAAGAGGACTTGGGTCTGGAAGGTTTCAGGTTTGATTCCACCAGCTGCCAAGTGACCACTGAGCTGCCCCACTGTTCACTTTAGTGATGGGTTAAAAGCAGAGGTCAAATTTCGTTGTGTGCTGTGTCCCAATGACAAGGAGATCACTTTCCTTTCCTTTCTTTTGTACCACTCCACTCTGTTGAATGACACCAAAAAATCACGCTGTCATGACCGAGGCCTTTGAACCGTTGTGTTGTTTCAAGAAAATCTCAGTGGGTCATTTTAGTAACTCAAAATAATGTCCACACTTTATGGAGTTAAACATAAACTCTCAGAGCTCCAAAGTAGGTCAGGGGGCTTCAGAGAGCCAACACCGAACTGGATTTTTATTCAGAAAACCAGGATCAGACAGACAACTCAGCTCGGGTCCGGAGTTGCTGAATAAAGATTCCTAAACTGTTGGGCAAGTTAGGGTCCACTTTTTACGTCTTATACTACCGGGGCTACAACTTCTGATCCAACAACTTTCCTCAAGATAACCAACGTAACAGTGGTTTGAACATTTGGTTTAAAACCATAAAAACAGACAAACTGTTCGATAAAGCTACGTATCAGAAATGTCTAAAGTTATGGGGAAAAGTACATGGTTTCACTGGGGATCGAACCCAGGACCTTCTGCGTGTAAAGCAGACGTGATTACCACTACACTATGAAACCATATAATCTGCATAAACTTCTGTTTGTACACGTAATTTAAAAGGAAAAAAACCGCCGGTTATGACCACTTGCAATTAAACATATATCGCACCGATAAACATGTACAATTGTATCGACGACAGCATGAAATTGTTACCATTACACAAAACTTACAACAGAGGATCTTTCTTCACACAAAAAAAATGTTTACACGGTGACTTATTTTGCCTATTTATTCGATACACTCTTATGTATAAACATAGCGAGTTATTTCTGAAATTAGAAAGGCACTTCCGGAGCTACAG